CGAGGATGTTGCAACCAAATAGTCGATGGTGAAGGGGAAGAAACCACCCAATTCATTAAGAACTAGAGGTGCACTAATAATGATTGGCTTTTTTAAACAAGTTGAGAAAGCATTTCACATGATGTCACCTGCCAATAACTAAAAATAAGTGTTTGTACTTTGCAATTGTTTAAAGTGTGCTAAATATGACTGTATTATATATCTACCTATGTCTCATTAAGTACATATTTACATTTGTGCATGGAGTATCTCTAAAGCAAATAAGTTCGTGCGACCACATCTGTAGAAGATTGTTTCTGGTGGCAAAACTAAACCTAGAGTTGTCCCAATACTACAATATCTACTACTTTTCATGTCACTCGAACATACTTATTTCGAAGCCAGCCTAAAGCAACATTAATTTCATCCGAGTCGTCATTTCAAAACGAAACAGCATTAGATTGGAATATATACTCCTGTATTCTTACCTCACCTGTATTCTTCTCATTATTGCAATCGCAGTTAACGACGCTCATCAATTTGCTCAAGTTTTTACTGCTCCTGCTTATTGCAAAAGCGCCAAACAAGGAGGAGTCCCATAAGGCAGCACATTAGTAATGCGAGATTATATCGCATCGCACTTAAATCTGTGAAATGTTTAATGCATTTCTGTTACTACTACTTACACATTACGACTGCGGATCTGAGGAGGTTCAGTGTAGGAACATATTGAGCCAGCAATTGTACAAATATCTGGTGCCATTGTTCGTGACCCAGATCTGCAAATCGTGTCAGCTTATGCTTTTATGCAGAGGGAGAGAGAAGGAGAAAGCGGAGAAAGTAATCCAGACGGATTGTTGCTCTTTTTCTGACATAAAGCAGGAGAAGCAAAGCAGTAAAAGAATTCTTTCGGCGATGATGGGAGGCTACTATTTTGTGAGTTAGTCCGATGATGTCATGGTTGGGCTGTAAATAAACTGGGATAGCGTCCTAATGGAACTGGAGTCGTTCAAGTGCTCCTTTCTCCTCATTAAACGCACTCTTCCATGCACTCCGGCCGTATTAGGATCCTTGCATAACGTGTAAATATGTAGACTGTGGGAAGTGGATAATGAATTCAGAAATGCACTCTTCAAAAATTAGAATGACTTGAGAAATACATCTGCACTCTTGCAAAATGGGTGTACACATTTATCCATGTAGGAGATTGATTTGACTGCTCCTTTGCCGTCCCGACTGCCCATTAGCGATGATGATGACTGCTAAAGTATGTGGTTGGAATCAGTTGGTCGCATTGTGGGTGTGGTCAGGAGTACTTTTGAATAGGTCGGGTTGACAAATAAAGCAAATCAAATCAATGCAATTTCTGCGAGATGGCTTCGGAATAATTTATCAGACCGGAACCAACCCATTCAGCCTCTCTGCAAAACCCAGTGCCGTCCTCTCCTCGTGGATTCGCGAGTATTGGGCAAATTTGAAATTTGAATCATTTAAATGTGTTGATGTTGGTCTGGTGGGCCGCAGGACTCAATGGAGTTTTGAAGCATAGGTCCGATGAGGACGAGGAGGACTTCATCTGGAGGAGATGAAAGGCTTTTATTTGGGGAAAGTTTTGAAGCAAATTCAATCAAATTTGGGTTGCTTTGGGTTGACCAAGGCTAACGGCTGACGTGATGGGCAGAGGGAGATAGAAAAGGAGAGAGCACTGAAGTGCAGTATATGTATGGAGTTCGTCTCTCTCTCTCTCCCATTTGTGCACAAGAACGGATGCACAATACAGATTTTATTCAGCATAGCTCCCATCTTCCAACAACGGCATAGGCACACAGCGAGTCTGGACAGGAGAGGGTTTGGTTGTAGATTCCGAAGTGAATTGTAGATTGTAACTCTAACTCATGTTGCCCTACTTCCTTTGTGTTCTCCTCTTCCGTCGCACAATTCCACTCTCCAGCAAGGAGGCAGGCAGGAGTAGTGGTGGCAATAATACAAGTGGTAATATGAACATCAAACTTTCCCCTGACCAACGTGAGATTGGAGAAGAATTCGGAAAACTCAAGGCCCTCTGGTACATACACAAGTAGTATACGTAATGTGGGATATTATCAGGGTGGCATTTGTCCATGCCCGTGATGAGAATTGCGCCTGAATTTTGGAAGCATATTTGGACATATTTATGCATAAGCTGTATCTTTGAAGAGAGAATTATCACATCACTTGGTTTTTGGATTTCTCTAATCCTCACATGTGCGCCGATGAACAATAGGTTTGCCCAATCTGGGGATATTCAGGTCCAGGTTGCTCCACGTATGTGGGTGGCCTTGCCTGGAGATGGAATTTTGGAAAATGTTTATTTTGAACTTGTGCACAGAGTGGGACTGGAATTCAGTTGTTATTTGCTGCCCGAATTGCTGAGCTGGTTCCATATTTCCCATTGAAAATGAGAGAACTCAAGAGTTGCGAGCCCACCCATACAACCCACGACCAAGTGGGGAGCACAATGGAATGTAAATACAAACACAAACAAAAGTGCAAATACAATAAATATGTTTTATTTCCGCCCATCCCAATTCCATTCGAATTCATAAATTGATATCAATATGGGTCACTGGTTTGTGCGAGCCTCACAAACCGGATTTTCATCCAATTTACAATATTTTACATTCGGCTTCTCCAACCCAATCGAGTGTGCAGTGGACAAACGCAAATTGTTTGGAGATGAAATTGCAGAGTTATTGAGAGCACGTTGATAGGTATGTGCTACATGCACTGATAAGCATGCATCCACATCTTCCAATGAAATGGGATTCCCAGTACCCGCTGGTACGGATTATTATTATCGAACCATGTTGACCAAAGCATTTTTACGAATGTGCATATATTAGCGTTTCTGTGCATGTATTTATGCATTACTTCATGGAACTTATTGAAATTGGTAAAAAATGACAGCCTCGCCATCATAGTCTTTGATATTTGGCTTAATGCTAAGAAATCACAACTTGTTATTCGGAGAAAGTAGAATTTGGGACTCGAATCAAACAAATTACCAGCATATTCTTATTCCAGGCAGACTCCACTCATATCTTAATGAGATTATGCTTTTATGTGGCATAGTGAAAGTTGGAGTCGTTGAATCCATAGACTCCGTGAGGTGCGAAAGTGAAATTGCTATCAGCCAACGACTGAATGCATGTATCTTGTGGTACAGAGCAAATCGCGTCGGTGGGTCAAAAACCCTTTCGACATTTCTCGTGGCGTACCATTTATGTGCATTAATTGAAATGTCACAGTTCATAATCTTTAACTGTTATCGAGCAAGCAGAATTTTCTAAGGTCTTTTAATTGTCTGATTTGTCGGTTGAATAATCTACTTGTGTTTTATGCATAGAAAGTGTGCATTATGCGCATATGTGGAGTCTTGTTTCTTTCTGTATAATCTCTGCTTCTCATAGTTGGGCATTCCTTCACACGACATAAACAGGAGGGCAAAGCATTTCCGTATTTGTCGTCTTCCACACATTCTCTCATTTCCCACTTTCTCACCCCAACTTTTTGCAATGCAACTTCATTCCCGTTTTACAAAGTCCAGCCACGTAGGATGCTTAAGGGATGAGTTACACTTTATGTTACACTCATACTTTCCACTGTTCCAACAACCTTTATGACTCGGCGATATTGGTTTGGTTTGCACATTTTCTCTTCTCGACGTGGATTGGATTTTTCATCTAATTTTATGGCACGCAAGGTTGAAAAAGTCTCAAAATGAGGGTGCCACACATCTCTTGAAATATTCTTGATCTTCCTGATTAAATAAGTTGGCTTAAAAAATGTTTAAAAATACCTTCCTTTGCATCGTTATAAAATCAATTTGCCAACGATTTTCTGATAATTTCAGGTGATAATTGTACAAATAAAAAAATGCGAAATCCAGCTGCTTGCATATGTAGTAACCACTACTCGATTATGTTGGGTTACAAAGTTGCTGAGTCTGCAGCTAAGATGATCAATAGCCGTTCATCATTTATTTTCATGCAAACTTGCAATGTTTGTGAAAAACATGTCTGCCATCCAGTCAAAACATTTCATCGTGCAACCCACCGACCGACCTACCGATCGTCGCACCATAACTATTTTAATCATTTCATCTTCCTACATATCCTATAGGATCAGTTTGGTGCTGGACTGTGTGTCAAAAAAGTCATGTCTCATCCACCTCGGATTTCCATTCATCTTTCTCTCCCTTTTTCACTGAACAACAGTTTTTTCCCAAAAATTTAGTTTGAGTGAAACCACATAAACTGAATGGAAGACCGCATGGGAGAGTTTCTATCTTCCTGAATTTGAAAAATCGTCATCTGTCAACCAGTAATCCGCCCATTCCTTCTCCATTTATTCATTACAAGATTAACGGTGTTGGAAGTTGCAGGGCGATGGAAATTTTACGAATAATTTTATTGCTCCATCTCGAATTCTCAACCCTCACAACAATTCTGTTGCTCTCGTTCCGAGCAATGTTTCTGCTCGGGACTATACGTAATATTACACGAGCAGCCATAGAATGCATAAGTCTAAATGACAAAGCATGCCAAACTTTATTCCATTAAAATGCGAATAAAACTCTGCATCATGTAGCTATCGTTTTGGTTGTTATTGATTTCTGGGTTATAACTCGACCCATTGTTTACATCACATATTTGGGAAATCAAGACTGAATTCAGTCAAGGCGATTAGAAAGAGTAGGAATGTGATTCCAAACATATCAAAAGTGATGCTAAAGACGTACAAGGCATATGCAAATATGTAAAATTTAATGCTCGGTGTTAGGCATATTCAAGAAACAGTACGTTTAAAAAACAAAAGGGTTTGTCTAAATATTTGTCATATTTAGATACTATGCATCCTGTTTAGCAAAGTATTTATCTTAGAATTTCATGTGACACCTATTCAATGTTACAGATATGTTGTACGGAAGCGATAAATGCCTACTGTTAATACTTCATTTTATTGGAATTTTGTAAGCGGATTAACATTGACCGGTGCATTGTATTTTTCATTCAAATTTTATAAAGCTCCCCACGAATACTAAAATTACATACAAAGTTATTGAAACACTAATCAAAGAATAAATTCCAAAGATTCCTACAACAAAGTTAAATATTTAATCTTCTAATTTTGAGCAGCAACGAAACATTGCGTAATGATTTTCGCACAGTTCTTCGTTCATCCATTTCACTGTTGTACCTACGTAAGAAAACATTGCAAAAAAATACAAGCTATATGCAAAAATATCACTGATGATATTACCTTCGGGACACGGATTCTTAATACTTTTTTTCTTGCATTTACTTGTCGTGCATTTATATCCCGGAATAGCATCTGTGTCAACCTCGTTATCAGCACTTGCCTCGTCGTCTTGTCCAGCCACATCAATTTGAACATCATCCACATTATCCTCATTCTTTGCACCTTTCCCTGTGATTTTTATGTCTCTGAACATTTCTAGCAACTTTAATATCGTTAGCGGATTAATTACCCTTGCAGCAAGAATATTTTGCCATCCCTGCATCGCACCCCTTCGGAAGCTTTCCGGTTTCGACTGGATAAGGGTCAGTGCACTTCATTTCTTTGCTTTTGGTGCTCTTACATTTAGTTGTGATGCACTCCTCAGATCCTTCGCCTCCTAGACCTTCGGTTTCGCTATTACCTGCACGATTACAAAGATTTTGAATGTTGCATTCTAAAGAAACTACCCGATTTTTGTAGTTAACAGACTACGCACCTCCACAGCACGAAAACTTGGCTTCTCCTTCGTCACACTCGTCGGTAAACTTATCCATCTCCATTGGGAAAGGGTCGAGGCACTTGGCTTCTTTCGTCGTGAGACTCTTGCACTCAGTTGTCATGCAGTTCCCAGAGTTTTGTGCCTCCCCATCTCCGTCCTTACCTGCAAAATTAATTATCCAACTTGAGACAAATATATTTAGCACATTTCCTTGATTATTACAAAAATACGCACCTTTGCAGCAAGAATATTTGGCTTCGCCTGCATCGCACCCCTTCGGAAGCTTTCCCGTCTCGACTGGGTAAGGGTCAAGGCACTTCGCTTCCTTGGTTTTGGTGCTCTTACATTCAGTTGTGACGCACTCTTCAGATCCTGCACAAGTTAGAGTCAATGTTTGAACCGAGGAACGATGAATGTGTCAATAGAACATTGAAAGCCGTCAAAGTTATCAAACAGATTTCTGTTGGCATTGCATTTGAGTTATGAACCATCATGATTCGCCTGATTGGTGCGGAGACACGCCATGTGGAGGATTATCTTAATATCATTACAGCTCAGATATACAATTTTGTAACGCCGCTTTGCCATTTGAGGTTGATGAGATCTCGATAAAACCTCTGAGGCCCCTGACCAGTGTGGGAATGCTCCGTCGGAAAATCAAAATAAGCATAAACTTACCCTTAGGTACAGTGTAGACCTGTGGCGTAAAGTTCGGAGGAACTATTAGTCCTCCGTAGCGGCAACATCTGAATTGTGCTTGGTCAGGTGGGCACTTACCAGGAACACTTCCGTAATGAAAAGTACCTTTCAAGAAATCGTCGTCAGTTGCGTAAATCTCAAACTCCAACGGCATCTTAGAAATTGGTCTTACCAGCTTTGCATTTTGCTTCCTTTGTTTTTATACTCTTGCACTCGGTTAGAGTACAAATTCTGGATCCTTCGTTAATGTCGGGTTTTATTCCACGACCCAGGCCTAAAAATATCAAGAATTGCCGAGTAACACCAGGATGAACTTGTTTGTGAGTGTGACAATGAAAATATGTATGTGACCTTTGCAGCACGTATAGCGTCCATGATTTTTGGGGCAACCTATATTCGTGTAACCTCGTATTCTGTATGGATACATGCATTTTGCCTCTCGAGTCAAAACATCCTTGCATTTGGTGTTGAAGCACCGATCCCCACGCACACCTGAATTTGGGACTTCAATGTCCTCGCTCGGGGCTTAAGCAATTCAGTTATCACACATATAACACATACGGATTGAGCAAGAAAATAAGAATTTTGGAAACTCACTACAGCACAAGTATTTGGCATGGTCCTTTGGACATCCTATGTCGGATTTACTTTTTTCGGTCGATGGGGGTAAGCATTTCGCTTCTTTAGTCAACACACTTTTGCAAGCCGATATTTGGCATTCACCTAAATTAAGTGAGATTCCTTTCAATAATCATCTGATTTCAAGTCAAAAGTGATCTTACCAGAAACAAAATGCCCAACATTGCAAATAATGCCAAGATTTAATAAAAACTTGGCAGGGAACTTCATTTTAAAGTATCGTCAATTTTTTTTGACTTTCTCAATTTTTAATTATCACAAAATGCCAGTGACAAAATTGTCAAATAACCATAACATGTAAATGACAAACATAAAGAAGCATGGATGCAAACTTTGTAATTAAATTATGACCTTTATTTTGTACTTTTGCTTTTTACTTTCTAAATGCTGTTTTATAAATGTAACACAATGCATGGGATGGAAAATGCATTTCCATTGATTATTTCATTGTTTCATGACAATAACAGTATGCCAGCATGTATTTCGAAAATTGAATACAACAATCAAGTGAAACTTATTGTATTGACACAAAGTTTTCAATTGAATTAAGTGGTTGATACGCACCTAATAAATAGAAATTATACATGTATACCTTCGCCAGGCGTTTTTTTTACAGAAATGGCAGAATTCAGTTCTAGGTGAGCTTTAAATAAGGTTGATCTCAAGCATGACTATTTTCGTCACATTTTTTCCGAACTTCCCAAAAAACTTATAACCCGTAGAGAAAACTGCAATTAAAATTTACGGTAATTGAAACTAATGAAAAAGGCTAAAGGCTGAATATGTACTTGTGTAAATGGACACAAGGTTTCTTGAAATCCACTTCTTATTTTCATCTCAATATTTCCGATCCTTCTTTCCTTCAGATATTATTCAAAGGTATATGTGCATACTTATTTATTTTTGTACTATTGAGCACCCTTCTCTTGCTTTCATGATGCTCAAAATATATGCAGGTAACAGTTAATCAAATTAGATCTGCTTATTTTCATACGCTTGTTGCGAGTTCTTTTGAAAATTAGTCTGATTTTGAGAAAAGGGAAGAAACTCGGTACCAAATATTTAGTATCAAGAGGGCCCAAGACTAGATTATGTAAGGAACCTGCAGACACGGACAAGATGCACTGATTGAACTTAATTCCCATTATTAAGTTCATAGAAAACATAATTTGTTGTTTGAGCCCGGATATATGTACGTTTGTCAATTCACTATGATTTGCAACAAATGGTGCCATTCGTGTTGAATCATAATTGAAGTATTCTCGTCGACTTCAAACAAAATTACGATTCCAGAATTGAAAATAAGTTTCATGTTTTTGAGGTACGATTTCCAAAATACGTGATTTCTAAATTATTATATACACTTACATACACTTACATAGTTCAAAATTTTGTACACCATGTTTGAGTCAGTGCATTGGTAGGTAAACAGATAATTATGGGGATATTTATATCGCGTCGACTTGTGATACAAAAATGATCAGGGTCCATTTTATTATGCCAAAGTTTCAAGTAGTCTCTGAAGCAGGTGCTTGAAACTAAAACTCAATCTCAAAATTTTAGCGAGACTTCATTTCTCTCAAGAATTGAGCTAATTACTTTCCAAAGACGTTGAGCTATTCCACACGGGCTTATTTAACCAAATCACCCCTCCCGAATCCAATCTCGCTACTCTGATCATAAGTTTTTACACTTAATTCTTATTCCGAACGGAGGCTCATCTTTGCATAAAATTAAAAGTTGCGAAAGTGTCGGTAATGGTAAGTGGATGAGTTGCGCTTATCAACCCACCAACGCACTTTTGCATACGCACCGTATACGTATGCAGATGAGCCACTCAAAACCTATCCCAAATTAAATTGAGTTTCTGGGGGATTTCTCATTTAACTTCCACTCCTCCACTTAATACATGCTCCAAGAAGAAAAAAACAGAGATAGTCGCCAATCACTCACCCAATTCAAAATTAAATTTTTGGAGAAAGTTTCCAGAAAATATTTCTATTTTAGTTGTATTAGCGTATAAAAATAAAATATGTATGACTGGAATGAGCAGAAATGTTTCATGCACTAATCACAATTTGATCGAACCTCTCACCAGAAATGCATTTAATTCTACATGCACTTCCATGTACATCAACTTTTTGCAGTTCCATAACTTTCTCTTGACAAATTTGTATACTTTATGGTTTAGTTTGACATTTCGTCATAAAACTTGAGCTTATCCATGTTCACAAATCTACTGCAGACAGAGTGTAGTTGGGCTGCATTTGGTTTAAAAAAATGATATAAGCTGCATCTATGTAAATCTAGAATTGCTTAAGAGAGCGACACCGCATAAAAGCTACATATCAAAATGTAAGGATTGTAAAATGTCGTTATTCAATTTGGAAACACATTTGGACTTGTTTCAGCATTTGTATGAGCTTAAGTAGACTTGAAATACTTCAAATTCTGGAAGCCGTGCCACTCGCAAGTATCAACAATATATTTTCCATCCGAACCAATAAATCTTTTGCGAGGAAGGATTGAGCGGAAAAGCGAAGGCAGGAGAGGAAGGAAGGAATCGACTAACAACCAGCCAACCACCCTCTCCCAGAATCCTCTCCAGAATTCCAAAACTCCGTACACAACCTGCCTCCCATGCTTTCACCCTCTAAACGAATCCAATTCAACACCAACTGTATCGATTCAGCCTCTCCGATACACACACATTTCCAATTTTCGATATAACCACCGATAAGCGATCCTTTCATGTAAACTTGTCCCATATTTTATATTGTTGTCCTTCCCTGTCAAGTCCTACTTAGCCCTCTGCCCACATACCACACACACCTACCTCACTTTCTCCCACATACGTGAGAGACTTCTAATGTGTGGCCTAAATACTCGCAAGAGAAATTTATGCACAGTTTACAACGCCAAGTCTGCCATAATTCCAACAGAGGTGCCAAGTATTGAATCCTGGTGTCACTTTGGAGCCACTTTCGCCACGTATCAAACTCCTTCCTTTCCTCCAGCCGAAGACGGTGCGGAATGCCAAAGGACGCTCGTATATCAGGATCTGCTGCGGTATCGATGGGAATGCAATTGACCGTGTTGTTTCGGGGCATTAAAGGAACGTCCACGAGTTTCTGCAGATTAATTCAGTGCTACGGATCGTAATTTTTCATGGTTTATGAAAAGATTAAACTGCTGAAAATAATCTCGTTTTTATGTGTGCGCCTGTTTGCTGTCTTCCCGTTATTATTGTTTAACAATGTAATTTGAGAATGAATGCCAAGTCAATGTAGTACGTGAGACAGCCATTTCTAATTTTGGAACGATTGAATGAACAAGAATAAGGAAGAGGAAGATGTGCTTGAAATAATATTTGGAATTGGATCGGTTCGATATTCAACTCTGTATTCCACTGGTTCAAAATTTGAAGATATTGAGTGACAGGTGGTGTAACTACACATAAACTGTGCATACCAATAATGACAACGTGCACCTCAATGTCACTCTACGTCTAATCATCATCTGTTTGTTTGCAATCGTGGAAGAACAATTATTATTCGAGCCACAAGTCTAATTATTAATGACACCAGCCGCTTATTGTGATCCTTCTGTCCGTCTGCTCGAATCAGGATATCATTAGAACTCCTCAACATAATCAAACGCTATTTTCGCCATTGTGCTTCTAATTTTTAGTTCTCGGTTGAGTTCGATACCGGGGTCAATTGGACTACCCCACACAGCGCCGGGGGTGTGATCAAAAATTAAACTGAAACTTAATTTTCATATGGAGTGTCATTTTACAGGAAAACGTCAACGTCAATATTTTTGACCTCCGACCGACCGGTCAAATGTCAACAATTACATAATTGTTATACCTGTATGGTGTCATTTAAAAAGAAATTTCGATCGGTTTGACGCCACTTTTTTATGTTCGTTTGACACGGTTTATTTTCTTTCCCTGCGACCTATGATGAGTTATACATTCATAGATTTCTGAATCGCAATACATAACTACCCACAGAAACGACGGAGTAGGAAAATATTTGTGGGTATAAAAATTGCCCCTCAAAGATCATTTAATCATCCTCGTCCATTCGTTGGTGAAAACCAATGATCCGTGTCATGAAGTGATAAAGTCTGCCACCAAGGCCAAATGTAAATACTTACCTAACTGGCGACTTTCCGACCAAAACTGCAAAAAGCAGTTACGCAATGGGTACAGCAAACTGGCCCAAATTTGTACACATCGCTTCCATCCACATAAGCAAAAATCAACTCTAAAGTTCTGGCTCATAACGGAATTACAGTTCGTAATGTATTCACTGTTTTCAGGAGTTCATTCCTACGTTTCAATATGGAAACTAAAAAAACCACTCACAAACCTGCAACTGAATGTCTAAAGAAATCTCCATATTTTTGCATTGCAATGTGATCCCGGAGTCACGGGATGATCTCTCTCGCATCCGATCCATCCATCGGAGGATATTATTTGTCTCAAAGAAAGGAGATAAAATGACACGGGAAAAGACTTGACAGTTTTTATTTTTGTGACCCAACCCCACACGGAGAATCCTCTTTTCTCGAAATAATTTCTATGTTATCAATACGCCCCATTGGCTGCTCATCCTCCTCCTCCTGCTGCTGTTTCCTATTGTGCCTGTCACACAAAAAACCTCTCCCGTTGTTGCTACTTGGTTGGAGGAAGAATTCGAAATATTTCCGAGGAAGCAGATGAATTTGATATGAAGACAGAGAAAGAAACCTTTTAGATTCGATCATTGATTCCAAGATTTGATCCCATTTCTGATTTCAGATGTCTCGACGTGTGCCTTCTCCCATGACGGATGATAACTCTTAGCTTTTAAGATTTCTCTGCTTAGAAAATATCA